CAGAGTCCTATGTCAACTTTCTCACGGCAAGAGGTAGGTAGTCATTTTAGTCTGAAGTAGGGCAGAAATTAGGGCAGATTTGCACATTACAGACTATAATTAGGGATCTACTTAATTCATGGTTTCATGGATTTTGTGGAAACCATGAAATTTGGGATTGTCTGTGAAATCAACAAAAACAACAAAATAAAATACTGGCTCCCCAGTGGGAGCTAGCAATCCTCACTGCCGTGAGGGGAAGGTGCCAGCTAGAGGAATGGCATGAATATTGCTGGCTACCCACCTTGTCCCTTCTCCCCCTGCTGGGGCCTCTCTGCTAATCAGCACCAAGGGACCGTGATACACAAAGGGCAGCCAGCAGTCAATATGGTGGCTGCCCTCATCCCCCACTCCTCCTGGGCCTCTCTGCGCTGCAAAATGACTGCAGAATTAGAACCTTACACCATAATCAACCCGTGGAAATTGGTAAGTACCCCTGCGATTTAGGTAGACCCTTAACTATAGTGAACACTCCTAGGCTGGACACATTTTTTATATTAGTCTTCTCATGTAAGGCTCCCCACAGCTGATGCGTCTTTTCTTTTGTTTTTTTTTACTTGTTTTGCTTCACCTGCTAATGGAGGAATAAAAAAGTGTTCAAGCAGTTGGGAGCACACAGAGAATAAATAAATCCCAGAAATGTTGACCCTTGCTAACAGAGTAGAAGTAGCAGATAGAGTATCTTGGACGAGAAATTTTCTGTTTTAAGTAAGTCTGTAATAGATATGGAAATTGATCTGAACTATTACTCTGCCTATACTTCTGGAGGCCAATAGTCTGACACCCAAACCACATGGGTGAAAGCCAGTTCCTGAGGTCTATTTGACAAGTCTGAACCAACCAGTATTTGCAGAAAAAAGGATGCACCTCCAGAAGTCTGATGGAAAAGAAATTAAGGACTGACAGAGGAAGCATGTTCCTGTAAAAAGTGAGGCAAAATTCCTGTTTGATGGCAAAACACTTTGAGAGCTTTGATGGATTTAATAGTGACATTAATTACCAATTACACAAGTCCTACGATTCACTCAGGGATATGCTTAGCTTCATGTTAAACTGTACCTGAAGATGGGTTTTTGTTTATGGTCAAGAACAGTTTAAGAAGGAATCCATGTGGATTCTTGATAATAGTGTTAATTACTATTGTGTGTTGAGAGAATTTAGGAAAACAGTTATAATGCTGCACAAAGAGGATGCTCCAGGGAAAGCCAGTTGAGACTTCCTGCAACAAAACATCAAGCTATTGCTGTAGGTAATGGAAGGCCTGAATATCACATGCAAGCATAAGGGCTAGTGAAAAAATGGAAAATAATAATTCAAAATGATAAAAATAAGCAAATGAATCTCTAATCCTCCTGCAGTTCCTTTCTTTTGATTCTCTTTGACAGTATTTGAAGGACCAGTAAGGGGGAGAAGCTGCAATAGAAAGAATTGGCTAAAAAGATAATAATTCCAAAACACTATTTTCAAAGCACAATACTGATTGAATACATTCACAGTGATCTCTAGTACTGTTTTCAAATAATACATATGCATTTTTAAACAAGCAAATTTAACTTAATGCTTATACAAAATGTAAGTGAGCATAATACAGCCTGTAAATACAGAAGTGAATATGTAAGTTCATAAATACAATTTATCAAAAACTAAATCTATATTGAAAAAAAGGATATGATGAAATGAGCTACAATTTTCACAGTTGTGAAATATGCAGAAAGAAATATAGCTATTACCAACTTGAAACTGCAGTTGAGTTTCTGAACTACTTTTACATGCATTTATGTATCATTTTTATACTTGATGGAAATTACCCAAATTAACGGAATGGTGTTTTCAAACCATTATCACGATGCCGCCAAAAAACAATTCACATTTAGAAAAGTATCTTTTGTAATATTTCGTCATTATCTTTTGCTACTGCTTAACAGTAACAGAACGCTTAAAGTTTAAGAATACTTTTGTATGAATTAGCACAAGAATTTTCAAATACCATCACCCCACTACAATTTTTCATTTAAAACTGATAATTCAATGAATTTTAATTGCATGTATTTAATGTTTATGTTGTTTCTGATTCAGTTTTCAAAATTAGACATTTATGAACTGTTTAAACAATTATATACAATGAATCTTGCAGGAATTATGCATAGCTTCATTACAAATCTCTCCGATTGCTGATAAAGTTATACACACACACAGACACACACACATTTTTTGTAGTTAATTATTATACTGGTTAAAAATCTGTGGTAGCAACCATTTGGATAATTAGGAAGTTCCCTAGCTGGAAGTTTAACTCTGTCTAGCTGAGAACATAATACTTACTCCCTATCAATAAGTGTAGACAGTGCAATACTGAAATCAATAAACTTTTCTGAAACACAGGCTAGTGTTACCAGGTCTATAACATTTGCTTTTCTTATGTAAATACCTGTATAGGACCACTCTACACTTACAACAAAAGTAAACATTTACTTTGTTTGTTTGCCTGACTACCATTAGCTTCTTATCCAACTTTGCAAATTCAGGATAGGATTACTAGAAGCCTACAAGTATGTATGCAGGGAGGTCTACATTCAGCAATCTCTATTCTGACAGACAGGAATGGTCAGATAAAATAATTATTACATTTAATTTAAAAACAAATATTATGCACACCTACGCTAAAAAATTAAATGCATTTGTAAAATATAACTTTAGTCAAAACGTGTTAGGCACCCCTCTATATATGTAAAAAAATATCTTTGAGCCTACAATTTAATTTAGGAAGAAATGTAAACTACTAGGTTCTATCCTACAAGCCAAGGAAAAAATATGACACAGCAGACCACAAACATGTTTTACAATTGCACAATTCAACGTACTTATTTTACAATATAAATGGAACAAAACTCTGATTGTGACAGACTGCAATTGCTAAAGTCCTCTTGAGGTGACCACTTTAGAAGAGTCATTTGTGAGCAAAACCAAATTAAGATACAATTGGGGCTAAAAATAGGGCTGTTTAACTTGACCAAATATTTGTTTAATTAAAAAAAAGTTTTTCAATACCAGTGAAATATAGATAGCAAGACCCTTCCTTGCTAAAAGGGTATTTTTAAAATGCCTTAAAACTTCATCCAAGAGACTGTCTCCCAATTAACAAATGAGATTTGGTAGGTCAATAAAAGTTATAAACTGTTATAATTAAAATATTCTATTCATTCTCTGAAGCTGCTGCTTTTGGTCGTGTAGCTATATAAATAGTATGCTTTCATGGCATACTAGTTATGCTTATGAGCAGTATAGCAGAACAGTATTCTGGACAGAGCAAGTATGCAAGTTCTTCTACAACCATTCACTTTGGTTGTAGGATGTCAGTGACATTTATAATCTGTCATATAGAACATGATTCAATAAAACAGAAATGCAGCTTATATACATCATTATTTTTTTCAAGTAATGTTATGTACATTTTATTGCCAGTATATGCACAATGGTAAGCATAGAACTATAAATACACAATGTAATTAACCAGTAGAAAACAACAAGAATGTTACACAACGGAGGAAAGAAAGGGGAGACACTATTTTCCTGATGCAGCTGCTAAAAAAAGGGATGATGACAAATGACAATTTCTTTTCTTTTTTTAAAAGTTTTTACATACATTTCTACAGTTTTTCTCCAATAGGACTGATCTCTGCAACAACAGCAAATTGCTTAACAACCATGTCTCCTCTTTATCAGATTCACTTCAAATCAAAGTGAAAATGACCCGTCAATGTATGCAACTGCAAGTGTTCAGCTCCACTGTTATTCAATTTTGTGATTCAGGGTAACTAATAAGTACAGTGTATTAGCAGTTTGTCATGATATTTGCTTGCGTGTCATAGTATAGGGCTTTGAATACACAGTAACAAATGATAATCTGAAAAGTAATTAAAAAAAGATTTCCATAGACAGCTTTTCCACAAGACATTATGGGCAGCAGCTCAGTCAAAAGTAATCACCCTGAAGAGGTAGAGAGAATTTTAGCCTAGCACAGAACATCCTTGGCACTGCTATTTTCTCTCTTATCAGGACACACTTCCTAAAACTAGACAATGAAATGGTAAAAAAAAAAACCAAAACGTTAATTTCCATCATTCCTGGAAAGGGTGCTGTTTTACCCTCTCTCTTAGATAAGTAGCTTGTAGCTCACTGATTACATCTGAGAAACAGAAGACATTTAGGGACAGGTATTTACTTGATCTTTGTTCTCTTTCCATTATCAAGTTCATAAATACAAAGAAGCATTATTCACAATAAACCAAAAAAAAAAAAAAAAAAAAAAAAAAAAAAAAAAAAAAAAAAAATGCAAAAAACAACCTGAAAACATTTCCACACCTTAATCCAGATGGGTCTTGACAATGCTATTCAAGGAAACCATGCAAATAATTTGGTGTAGCTTTCCCAACTCATCCAAAACTTTTTTTTTTTTTTTTTTTTTTAAATTAAAGAGTGGCAAGATCCATAGCGCTTGTGATTCTCCCCCCACCCTAAAATTCAGTGCAGAAAAATCTTACTGTTTTTAGAAAGATAACCAATAAACACTCCTCTGCACTGCTGTCATATATCCCCAATGTGAGTTATGAGACAAAACTACTGATTCCAGCAATTAGGTTGAGAGGAAACATTCTAGTGATAAATATAAATACGTACTGAGCATGCTTGGTCAGAGCACTCCATTCTAAGGCATCCTGCTTGAAGAAGTGATGGTGACAAGGATGGTTCATGTCCATCAAGTGATCACTTACTGTGCTGCTAGATAGCAGGCTGCCACACTATCACCAGTTCTGTAACACTGTACTCTGAAAGGGCTGTCTTCCACATTAGGAGGTACTAGTGGTACTAGTCCCCTACTGCTCATTCTAAATTCTTATTTATGGGACAAACATATACAACCAATGAACAATATCACTTTTACAGAACAGGATCAATCCAGCTTTTTTTTTTTAAACAGGTATAATTCTCAGTCTCCATAGTATCCCAAACAAGATGTAAATAAGATGATGTACCACCAATACAGCGACCAAGTCTAGATGCAGTTCAGACTGGTCCTGCCTTGTTTCACACCATTTCTTGTTTCTAGCAAAGAACATGATATACTTAAACAAAAGAACAATAAAAAATGTTATTCTGCAGCCAAATGAAAGCAAAAGAATTTAGATTTTTAAATTTTAAAGCTTAAAGCATTCCTGTTTAATTAGCATTTTTTAAAATTCTTTTAAATACAATTTAACACTGGCAAAAGTTAATGGGAAGACACAGAGGAGTGTGAACAGGAAAGTGATGGATTAGCTTTTTTTTAAATTTATTTTTTGATCAACTGATATTAATACTGTTTCTCCTTGGTTTTGGAATAACTCTACTGCAACAGTCACATGCAGGCTGAGGGTAGCCGCCGGTTAAAGGAAAAAAATCCCAAAAAAAACAAACAAAAAAACCCAAAACAGAACGAGAAGAGTTCCAAAAAGTGAACTTGAGAATTTTCCTTTCACTGATGAGGGTCTGTTCTTTCTTTAGGAGACCTGGTTCATGGTCGTCAGATTCATTAGCTTTGTCCAGAAACGTCTGTTGCTGTATCACCTGCTCCAGAGCCTGTCTGTGCACGTTTGATGTAAAGGTTCAGTAATTTCATCTGCAGATTGAATCCAGAAATTTACTATTTAGTATTTATCAGAGACAGAGTGTAATAGTAAAATCTTTAAATAAGGCTCCCAGCAGAAATAAAATACTGAACTATTGTCCCTTTGGTGAAAACGAAAATTAGCTTCAAGTTGTGGATTTAAAAAGTTAAGAACTTTTTTTTTTTTTAATCTACTTTCTAGAGAAAACTTCAGCCCAACCTATCTGAAACATGCAACAAGAGAGCTAAAATAGCTGAGCTGAAGTTAATATTGCTTACTTCCCAAGTTCAGTGCCAACTTGACTACGCTGGTATATTTTTATCAGGGAAAACTCATTTAATTCTAGTCACAGTCACTGTTAGGGTTCTGAATGTCTTTAATGAACAGGTTTCAGTGGTCCTTTTACTTCCTAAAAATTCCATCTTGTCCAGGGTCACCTTAAGCAAAGCCATGTAAAAGCCAAATAAGGATACATTCACTTTGCACAAGAAGGAACCTTTACAGTACCATCACGTACCACACTATATAAATATAATCTTATGTTTATTTTATGTGATAAAAGGATAAGTTTTTATAAAATTAGCATATAGTTGTTTCTAATGTAAAGTCTTCTATATGGCAGATGTCAATGAAACTAAAATTTTCTGCTGATGTAAAGCTATCCTAAAAGCTGTAAGATTCACTGTTTTATAAATTTAAAAAAATAAGTATTAAGAGGATTATGGTATGCAAAAAAATCAAGGAGAACATGGAGGTAAGGTGGGCTGAGTTCTCTCACCAAACAGTGAGCTTTAAAAAAAGGCAACATTATATAGAGATGTATAGAGGAAAATTAGAGGAGAAAAGCTAAGCAATACTTATTAGGTTCAACTGTGGGACGGCCTGATACATACAAGAACAAGTTTTTAAAGTCCATTCAAGCATAAAAATGTAATACAAACGTAATCTCTAACTTTTTAACCAAAACGTTTATTTAAATTCTGATCTGTAAAAGATTTTGCTTTTGATAATCCATTATATAACCAAGTCTAAATCTAAAACAGCAGAATATGTGGTTTAATTGGACATTTCTTCTAATAGAAACTTCACTTGTATAAGAACTGAATGATTGAATTTATGGTTTGCCAGCTTCTGAGTCTCACATTTCAGTCACATAGATTATTAATTTGGTAGCAGCTTCATTGACCCTGATTATCAGTCCTTCAAATATGTACATACCTTAGTTTGAACAGCCGCTTCCAACTACACTGTAAACATACACATGATATTATGGATAGCTGAAAATTATCTTTCACTTACTTTACTGCCAGTGAGTTGACTAAGATGTGGTTTAAGTTCATCGCCAATTACTGCATGGATGGCTACAAGGCAGAAAACACAAGCCTTACGAACACTGCTCTCTGAATTATCATAGCCCTAGAAAACAACAAAATTAATGTTACTCATATACTAGTTAATGACTTAAACCTGCAGTAAATTTACTTTCCCTTTTTATACATAAATGTAAAAAAACTACACTAAATGTTTAGATTGTCAAACAAATTAAGACTGCCCATGCAAGAAAGGTTACCTACCAGTAGCTTTTGTCTTTGGGAGTCATCCCTTTGTCATATTTATAGATATATAGCATGCAAGGTGTTGAACTGCAGATCTGCCTTGAAAAACTTTGTCTCCATTACAGTGTTACACAATTACACAAAATCAAGAGAATAGTATCACATTGCCTTCACTGTAACACTGCTGCTCTGCAGATAGAGTGGTCTTAGACACCAGGGAACAGGAAGGTGGTATGAACAGAAACTGTTAAGTAACATCATCTTTAAGGGCCTCTGTCCATTCATACTTGTGGAATATTAGCAAATAGCACTCCTCCAGGATGTTGGTGGGTAAGAAGTTCTTAGGCAGGCACAGACTGCTTCTCCATTTCTCCTACACTGAATATGAGAGCCCAGTGTTAGATCCAAGTAATAATGTTGCACCAAGCTCCTTAGCTACTGTTCTGCATACCTCCATCAAGAGAACCTAGCAAGGCATGCCATGGAGACTGTGGAAAGGAGTATTTAAATCAGAAGTTACTGGTTTTCCAGCTAAAATGTAGCAGAGCGCTGTACACATCCCATAATCCAGTGGTATAATCTTTGTATGGTACTTGGTTCCTCTGCCCATATGCTATATATAATGCTGAATTTTCTAAAGGACAGGGTTTTGTTCCCCCCCCGATGTCTTTCCATTGCTGATTGTAATATTATTTTCCAATCACACCCAAGGGAATCTCTTGTCCATATTTAGATACAAAGCGGGAACACTGAGACTACCTGAGGCACAAAGTTCAGATGAGGCCTCATAATACCTTTGTGCGGAGGGGCCATAATATAAGCAAGAATGGCTATCAAAACACTGAACTTATTCTTCCTCCCAGATGTACTGCTATTATGAAGGCTATTTTGATTGATAAACACACAAGTGAAAAGTCAGCAAGATACTCATTAAGAAAAGCTGATCAATTTTGTTAAATAAGATTTAGGTCCGATACAGACAAGGCTTTTGCAATGGGGGCAAATGTTTACCAAGTTCTAAGTGAACCTGCATACTAGGGTGAAAGAGAAGAGAGTCAATGTTACTGCGATTAGGTTCATGGTATTCTGTGTTGGATTATGAGGTGATAGCACGCAAAAAGTAACATTCATGGGGAAAAATGTCCATGTTCTCATACCAGTGAAGCTGCTGGAGCAGTCTACGATAGTCTGTTTCTTTGAAAGACATGTCCATTTGGTATACGAAAATCTCCTGCATAACAGTCTCATGTTCAGATGGATAAAAAATGAGATCTAGATCAACAAGGCCATAAGACGTGTATTCAATTTTCCCTATATTCCTGGACTCTGCTCAAGCCACAGGCTTTCCATCAGAAAAGAGATTATATATAACTCTTACATAAAACCAATAAAACACACACCCAATTCTGGGCTAACATCTGAAGTATACTGCAAATACTACAAGAACCTTGGCAAAGACTTGCCAAGCTGTGAACAAATCACATGAAAGTGCCTCAGGTGCTTGATTTGAGTATGTTACATGAACATCTGTGTCCTTTAAGGTAAATTACATGCCAGTATCCCTGGAATAAAGTAGGAATAGGGTCCTCTAAAATACACTCAAGAACCTACACATTTTCTTTTGTACTTGGGGTTTCTGAGGTCTTGGGACAGGGCTCAGGCCATCACTCTTCTTGGAGATGAAGAAACGGCAGATATACCATCTTTTCCCTTGGTGTTGCTTAGGAACTTAACAGTGGGTTTTTTTGAAAAAAGGCTCTTATGAGAGGGATCCATAAAAAGGAGAAGGACAAATAGGTAGCCAGATGCAGTGTCCATCACAAATGGTGTCCAGTGCCTAGTGATTAGAGGCAAGTGTATGGCCAGACACTGTAAGAGGAGAAAAGAAAGCTACGTCTGAAGACAGAAGCACACGGAAGGAAGGGTTATTGATCTGATGTTTGGCTAGATCATGGAATAACTACTTGGATGGAGAAGCAAAGTGTTTTAGCCACAAGTATTAAGGAATCCAGTTCTCACACTGCTGAGTTGCTTACTAGTACCACGTGTAGAAAAGGCAGTTACCAGTGCCGAAGAAAAGGCCTGGCTGGATTGAGGTCAGAACTGTTCTCATCTCCAGCAGGACTTTCTTGTAGACTTTCTTGTTTCTTGTACATACATCCAGATAAAGAAACCATGTGAGCTCTGCCTGAGATTCTTCCATGACGGCTCCTCAAACTGATTCTCCACCATTTATTTATTTGTACAACCTTGCAGAGTCATCTCTTGGACTTCACTTCCCAAAAACCAGATCACACACATTGTTTTTTAAAGTTTCAGAAACAAAGAAAGAGCTTTAAAGGCCATTTACAAACCACAGGTTGAGAAACACTTCCTGAAGTACTATATTCATAGTCCCTTAAGTTAAAAAGTAATGTAATTATCTTATTCTTTAAGAACAAAGTAAAATTTTGGATTCTAATTAGGTACAATTAATTTTAGCAGTTTGACAGCCAAAAACATGTTCTCATGACTGATAAACCAGATGCAATCATCTATTACCCAAATGAAAATTCATGCAAGCTAGTGATATGCTGCAGAGATTTTAAGTTATTTTCATTCTTTATCTTTACTATAGGTTCTTACCTGTATTAGACCTGGCACAATCTCTGGTAAAAGCTGAGTTAGAGTTTCTTTAGATACTCTTTCTATCACTTTTGTCTGCATTTTAATTGCAGCCAAATTGATGGGATAATCTGCAGTTTGGATAATGGGACAAAGAACTTTGATGCACTGATCTGGGCTAATGGAAGTGGCTAGCATTGAAGCAGCTTCTTCAGCAGATCTCACCACCTACATGAATATTAAATAAAGACATTGAAAAATAATGATTTACAAAAGTGCTTATACAGTCTATATTCTATCAGTTCTGCTTTTGAGCCTTACAATAAACCAAATACATCTTATTCATAATTTAATTACCCACCATCTGCTCTAAATACTACAAAAAATATTTGGATCAGAAGAGAACCCCAACAAGTACACTTTCAGAATTTTTCAGTATCCATAAAGTTCCTAAATGGAAGCTTGGACATTGAGTACTTCAGGAAATGTGGCCCTTAACGATAATCTAAAACAAATGTTTTTATGGTGCCAATACAGACATCAACATCCCTCCAACCAGCCTGACAAGGAATGTTAAATCTGGTCTAGAACCTCTTTAGTAACTGCTATGCCACTAACAACCTTGACAACTGTAAGGGTGCTTGTACATGTGATGGTCTTTACAATGTACAGGTGATGAAAATGTAATTGTGTTGCTTAATGGTGTCACACATTACGCATATGCCAGTTCTGGATGTTTTAAATAACTGCTCATTGAAAACTAAACTACATCTGGGTGTAGGTTAGCTTGCAATATTGCAAATTGCAACAATGGAGCCATCAGCTCAGCCCCCAGCTGCAAGAGAGACGAGCAGGCTTTGGCACCCTTACCTCCCGCTTTCACAGGTTAGTAATGAACTATAGCAGGGAAATGCTGAAGGAAGTAATGAACCTTTCAAGTACCTGCTAAAGGAAGAAGCGGAGAGGGGCCCGATTCTTTTTTTTGTTTTGGTGGAGACCTGCCCATCTCTTCTGCGGCTGGGAGGTGAGCTGTGGGTGGCCTGAGTGGCCCCTGAGCTGCGGGAGCCCTGGTCCTTCCTTCTGTGGCAGCAGCACCCCCCAGGGCTGCCTGGGCAGGCTGCTGCCCCAGCTCAGAGGCAGCACCTGGCCCAATCCAACTTTCCTCCGATCCTGCCCAGGGAGCAGTGCCTGGTGGGCTTCCAGTGGGAGGGCTCAGGGAAGAGTTGGATTGAGCTAGGTGCTGCCTCTGAGCTGTGGCAGCATCTAGCCTACAAGCAGCCTGCCTGGGTGGCCCTGGGGGGCACTGCCACTGAACGGAAAGACCAGGGCCACCCACAGCTGAAGAGCTGCTCAGTCCACCAGCAGCTTGTCCCCTGGCTGTGGGCAGCCTCTGAAAAAAAAAGGATTTGGCCCCTCACCATAATGTGGCAGAAAAATTGAAATAGTGGGTTACAATTAAAAACCCACCATTTTAATTTAGTGGGCATAAAATAAAACCTTGGGGATAAAAAAAACCAGGAGGAGCCAGCAGGGAGCTGCATGCTCAGGGGCAACCAGCACGGGTTCATCAGCAGCAGGTCCTGTCAGACCAACCTGGTGGCCTTTTACGACCAGGTCACTAAATCATTGGATGCAGGGGTGGCAGTGGATATAGTTTTCCTAGACTTCAGGAAGGCTTTTGATACTGTCTCTCACCCCAT